TGTTTAATGTCTCCCGTGTGAAAGTGAAGCCGTCTGTACTATATCCATACACGTGACTTAATTAAGATACTGACCTTATGTGAAAAACGAAAAATGCGTCATGTTCATAGTATCTCATCATTTAATTTGTGGCCCATCATAAAACTTAAAAGCGTATGTTCATGCATCTTTTTTATTATTATGTTTAGTATATAGTTATTTCTCTTTTCTCTTTCTCAACAACTATTCATCATATTATAATTACCATCATAGGGTACATGTGCTATATACATTGAAGGGGACAGATATATGTCCCTGGTTTTTTGAGAAATGAATAGATGCATCTGACTGCAGCAGATTCATCCCCCCCCCCGGGGGCATGAAATCTACAGTTTCAAGCATGTGATAATTTAATTACGTGGAATGATCCTCTTCGTTTTTTGTCGCAATCTTTTTTTGCAGGAAAAAATTATTAGTGAAATAATACCACAAAAATTTCCCAATATTGTCTTGTTTGCAGGAGCAGGACCACTGCTATACAATTGATTTGTTATCTTGGGTTGAAAGTTGAAGTTGATGGATTGCCATCCCCTCCTATAACCATCAATGATCAGTTTGCTATGAATATTCCAGAACTACTATTGTTATAGATCATACTCCCAATATCTTTTAACGCAACTAAAAAAATTAATGACTGCTTTATAATTATTAGGGAAAATCTAAAAAATTGATCTTAAATTTCAAAACCCTAAATAAGGAATTACTACAAAAATATATTGTCATTTGTTTTGTTTTTCAAGTGTAATCAATTGCTATACCAATAAGCTGTTGGTTAAGATAGTAAGCAGTCTTACCCCATAAAAAAAAATACGAGTTCAAATTTTGGAAAGCGTATTTGTTGTGAAAGTTTTTAACAATGCTCTCAACCCAACAGAGATTAATCTTAAGTTCAGAGTGACTTAAGAAGACTCTGAATTTATACCCCAAAAAAATGTGGTAAACAATGCTAGTTTGAAATTTTAAAATTTTAGAAATATCTTTTTAGAATATTTTTAATTATTATCATCCACGAAATTGTTCTTTTCTTACCTTATAAATGGAACTAGAATGGTATCAAATGAGAACTAGTTCCGGTTCTCATTGCAAAACTCAGTGCAGTGATACCATCTGTACCATTCAAATATTACTTTAACGGTTTTGTTTTAAAATGTTTAGCTAATAATTTTTATATTGTTAAGTCAAAATAGTTGAACGGTAAAGTGAGTGATACTGTGTATTTTTTCTTGCAAAGTTTTATCTGTTATTTTAACTTAGAAACATCTAATGCTTAATGACCAAAATCCAAACAATCCAACTTCAACCAAACAAACTAATCAAGCACAAAATTAAACTAAAAAAGAGTAATGTCCTTGGGATCTATGGGGACTTGTTGATTCAGTTTAATTAATTTGGATTGAAAATCAAACCAAGAATTGAATCTATAAACGTCCGTGCACCATGCCCACCGCATTAATTGTTTCAAATAAATTGATGAATTGAGTCGAAGGACAATTCTCAACCACTATCCTATGAACAAGGCACCAACTTCACGTCTAAAGAGTCATCTAGCGTAGGAAAGTTAGGGTGAAAATGCAGCCTTTTGAGAAATAGTAATTAATGTTTTAGTTCTGCTTGGTTTAAAAAAATAATGAAAAGTTTTAAGAAAATTGGAAGCTCAGTCCTTGAAAGAGCTTGAGAAAGTAATATCATAGGTAAAATCTTAATTAGGATGTCGTATTTGACAGATGTTTCGTATATATATTTATTTATGAACATACCTTTCATCGAATTAATTACTCAATCAATTAATTTTGTAATTTATCTATATCTTTATTTTTCTTGATTAAATCCTTTAATTAACCTCATCTTGTTAATGTTTTCTCTCCTTATAACTTTGCTCTATGGGCATTGTTGGTTTTTTAATTTCGTATAAGAGTTGACGGTGCTAATGGAATAAAATTAAACATTTGAAAAATTACGGTTGCTTATTTATTGAGCCAAGCAAGCCTGAAATTACTGATAATATCATGAACTTTAATTGAGATCAACAGCAATTTGATAGTTTTTCCTGGAATTAAAGAGGCATCCATTTTAGTCGAGACAAGCGGATAATATTTCTTTTTTTTATTTTAAAAATAAAAAGTGGTTGGATAAACATTTTCTATTTATTTAATTTTCTCAAAGCATGTTTGTATTTTTAGGGAGAAAAAAGGCATGATCTGATTATCTGACGTCTTTCTTCTCTCATTTTTGGCCCTTTTTACCTACCGGTCACCAGCTACATATACATCCCCGAACTGATGATTACTGGCCGTCACAAACCCCCACCACCATCTATTCGCTAATTACTTTACGGCTAGCTGTCACCAGCCGCCATCTCCACCGTACGTTAGTAGTATTCGAAGCGTTTTTTAAATTAATTTTCTGATGGAACTTTTCCTTTGTTTTTAGATGCATTTTCAAAAAGAATTATTCTGATAGATCTTTTTTGATATCTTGTTCCTAAAACTTTTTTTTTTTTAAAAAAAGACTTTTTCAAAAATATACCAAGAACAAAAAAATAGAGAATGAAATCAAACGTGCCCATTTTTCTTTTGTTTTTACGAGTTTGTGCGTGTGCGTGCCAGAGTAAATGATTAAGCACGGTGGACGATATTACTATTTAATATTACCTCTGATTCTAAATATAAGAGTTAGTTGATTAATTTGAGGAGATTAAGAAAAGAAGCTAAGTTAGTTATTTACAACAAACGAGTGTTGTCTTTTCTAAAATATCCTTACTAATCAAGTGTGCTGACTGGAACTACCATTGTTAAAAGGATTACTTTGGGAAAAAAATATATAAATATGAGACAAAATGAATTGGGGTCTTATATTTAGGATCAAAATAAAAGTTAAACAAGATCTTATATTAAGGATCAGAGGTAGTATTATACTTGTGTTCATCCAAGTACTCCTCTAATCCTATTATAGAACAGAGAAAAAAATATTTTTTAATCCTATTTATAGGATATTGTGAGAAATTTTTTGTATGGATGTATAATTTTATCCCTATTTATTATTGTATTAATTTTGCTTGCATGAGATATAATGTATATTAAATAGAAATAATGTTGAAAAGTTGTTAAATTTTATGCGAGTTAATAAAATTTAAAGTTTTTTGTTTTGTTTGTGTAAAACATATTAGAAGTGATTTATAAATAGGATTATATGAATATTTATTTTTCCTAAGATGCGTGGACTTATATCATTTTAGCAATTAATTTGGCGTCGGAGTTTCAAAATTTGGTAGCCAACGATATACTGTGGTACTCTACTTAAAGAAATTAGAGAAAACGTAACTTTGAATCCCAGAAATGAGGACTGAGGCTAATGCAATCTTGTCATGATGGAATCAGTTTCTAAAATGAAAATTAATAACTCTTGTCAAGAGCTTTTTACTGTAACCAAACATTATTAATCGCTAGATCGATGACACGTCATTGCCACATTACTGAACAACGCATCGTGTCTAAGGTACTCGATCAAAATCGACCATGCTTATGAGGCGATTGATGTCTTGATAACAAGACCTGATGGAGCTTTGCAAAAGTCCAAATATATACTCCCAAAAAAAAATATGCTTGTCCAAAAAATCAAAATCACCCCAAAAAAAGTCATATTATCTTACGTAATTTGTTTTCGGTTGTCTTTCACCCAATGAATATAACTAATGTTCATATTTATTTAACATGTTTTCGAATATGTATTGTCATATTTTAAAAAGATATCTAATGTTAATTGAGTCGTACGACTCAGCCACGCATCATCTTAGACTTATAAAAAGTCTTATAAATAGGATTGGAAGTAATATTAAAGACAAGAGGTAGTGCTTTTTTTCTTAAATATGCTCCCGACTCCTTTTTCAATGTTTTTCTAAAATATTGAAATAAGATTGAAGGTAGGTAGTACGAACAAGGTCTTATAAATAGGACCGGACGTAATATGGAAATTAGTTTATTAATTTAAGTAGATTAAAGAAACTAGTTAAATTAGTTATTTGTAATAAGTCCGTATTATTTTTTTCTAAAATATCTTTACTAATTAAGTATATTGACTAAAACTACTATTATTACAAGACTACCTTAAAAAAATGTGAAAGATAAAATAAATTAAAATCTTATATTTAAAAATAAAATAGAAATTAAATAATAAATTTTTATATTAAAAATGAAGGTAGTATTTATTTTTTAGAAGTGAGAAATTATAATATTTATCCATTAGAAGTGAGAAATTATAGGATGATTGAATGGTAGATTGGGACTTTGGAGTATCAGAAAGGGGGGATGACAGGGGGGGGGTTGATGAGGTTCGAGGGAGACACACGTCACCAACATACAGCTAACACAAATTAAACGCTGTCCCCACCCCCCTCTGGCCCTTCCGATTTCGTTTGTGCCTGACAGTCAAAACTGCGCCACGCCTTTTGGGCTGTCCCATTTTCGCAAATTTATCCCATTGATTTTTATTTTTTGTATAGTGACAGGGCACATTCACATTCACTCCCCTCGTCCCCACCCTCTTCGACAACGTTAAAGTTGCCTTTCTTATGCTCATTTCTCTCACATGTTTCTGATGTTCTGTTCTTTTTCGTGTCTGCGCATTTAGTGGAGCTTCTCAGTGCTGCTTCTGCTCCTCCTGATTTTGATGTCCCTCTTTATTTTGTCACCTTTTTTTTTTTTCCCTCTATTTACCTTCTTTATATCCCTTTCCCCCCAACATTCACTTGCCTACCTAGTATTTTCAGCCAATCCAATATTATCCTCTCTATTCTTTTTTCTCCCTTCACTTTCTTACGCCTATATAGTACATACACGCAGCCACTTGCCTCTCTTCTATCTACGAATCCGCATGTGCCCTTTTCCAGAGGTTGAACTGATAGTTATTACCCCAAAAAAAAAAAAAACACAAAGAAAACAAACTCCGATGATACGATCATATACCGATTATAGAGTCAAATACGATTATATGATCCCAGTTTCCTCCAGAACTAATTCTAACTGTTACACATAAGCTTATTCTTCTTCCTTTTCCCCCCCTGCTGATACATCTCCTTATTTCACGGATTGCAAACTGAGCTGGGAAACATATATGGATCCCTGATCAGTCGTGCACCCTCCTTCATGTATCAGACCTTGTTCTTACAGAAAGTACATATCAATTAATTAATTAATTAATTTTTCTGGGAAAAAAAAAAAGAAACAACAGATATGAACATCATCATCTGGCAACTTAATTATATAAGAGATAGCCCGGTCGGGAGTAATTGAACCTAGCTACTGATCCAGTCTCCTGAGAATAGCAGATTTGATCAGGCCCTCGTCGTTTCTCAGGCCTTGAGGGATCTTAACGACGACGTCTTGAAGCATGACCTCGTTGACGCAAGACATGCTCGCGTGGTGCACCCTGAGCTCCAAGTCTCGCAGCGCATCCATCAGCCTCGCTCCGGGATGGTTCCTGTTCTCCGACTGAACTCTCACCATCGCGTCCGGCCCCATGATCCTGACATCCACCTCCAGCCCACCCAGCCCCAGCCCCAGCCCCAGCCTGAAGCCCCGCCCGCTGGGGCCGGCCTGCTCCACCGTCGACTCCACCGTGTCCGCCGTTTCGAGCTTCACCTTCCTGCAGCTATTCATGCTGGCGGGCTCCCTCTGAAGCTGCGACTCCAGTTTCTCGATCTTGCCTTTGAGCTCGTTGATGTAAGAGACGGCGTCTGATAACAGAGAGGCCTTGTCCATCCTCGTCACGTGCGGGACCACGGCGCGCAGCGCGTAGAACCGGTGGTTCAGCTTCTCCCGCCGCTGCCGCTCGGCTTCCACGTGGTTCAACGGCGTTTCGCGACCCAGCCCGGGCTTTCTCCCTCTCTTCTTGGGCGGTGCTTTCTCTATTATCGGGCCGTCGGAATCCGAATGGGACTGCTCTGAATCCACGTACGACCTGAGCTGGAGACGGGGATCCTTCTTTCGGGGTTTACTGCAGGAATTGACCGGTACCTTCTTATCTTCTGCTTCTGGCGCGCCGGCGATAATGCCAATGTCGGCAAAAGAAATGGTCTCGTCAACGTCCAAGAAATCGACTTGTTCGGGCTGCTGCTTGATAGATGGTGAGATGATGGGGGCGAGATCCGACGAGCCGTACAGAGACTTAACTTGCTGGATGAGACTCGAGTTCTTTGGGATGATTTCAGAGGAACCCATCTCGAGAACTCCGTGAACGACGGGAACACAGATCAGGGTCCGAACCCCATGCAGGGAAGCTTCTTTGGCCCTGTCACAGTTGTGGAACTGAAGCTCGTGGGGGGTGATATTCAACCAAAGAGAAGAAGCAGAGGAAAAAGCCTTGGCAGGGAGGGAGGAGGAGGAGGAATCAGGAGCGAGGGAGAAAGTGCGAGTGAGGGACATGACGTAGAACCACTCGGCGTCGTTGAGGTTGTCGTCGACGAGAGATTCAAGACCCTTGATGAAGTTGTTATGACGGGGACGATGATCAGAGCCATGGAAGTGACCGTGGGCCCAGGACAAGCGGGGGCGGCCGCGGTCGTCGTGGGAGGTCTGCCAGAAAATGGCGTAGAGCCAGGAGCGGGGCTGGGCCTGAAGCAAGAATTGAAGCTTGTTTTGAAGAGGGGGGGAGGACGGAGGGGGAGGAGGGGGAGAATGAGAGAAGGAGAGGAGGGAGGAAGGGGAAGAAGGGGACAAGAGGAGGTCGTCCATGAAGAGAGGAGGGGGAGGCGTGGGGAGAAGCAGATCGAGAAGCTTGGTGGGGTATTGGTGGGAGGAGGGAGGGGTGGCGATGGATATTAATAAGACAAGGGAGGGGTTGGGGGAAGAAATGGAGAGCGGAGGGGGGAAGGAGTCGTCCAAGTAAGAGGGAGGCGAGGGGGGCTGTAGTTGTAGTTATAGGGAGGGAGCCAAGGTGAAGGTGGGGCGGGGGATGGGCGCCACTCCCACGTGAAGTGAAAGCGATGAAGGCTTTACAAAGCCTGCCACTTCACTCCCATGTCAAGTCTGGGCCGTAAATTCTGTCCTTTCCCCGCCCTCTCTTTTATCTCTTTTAATTCCCCCCCCCCCTTCATCTTTCATAGTAATGATAGTATTTTTATCCTACTACCCCGAACCATTACCTAAACTGTACATCCTAACCGATATTTATCTATATATTATACTTGAAGGTTATCTAGTCTTGCATTCATTTGTTTAATAGAAAGTAAAACCATTTACCTCATCTTTTCTGCCTTGAATTTCATGGCAAATTCCCCAATATAATCCCTATTCTTGTTAGATTCAATCGAGTTTTAACAAATCCTTGGAGCAGGGGAATTTTTCATCGAGATTCTTACTGATCTCGCATAGCTTCCAGCCTAACGTGAGCAAAGAGTTGATATCATCAGATCTAGTTATTAAAATAAGAAATCTCTCACTGGTTTTGTATGCGAGTGCAACGAGACTCAAGTTAGTAGTTAGAAAAGTAACTACTAGATTTAATGAAATAAGTAAATAACCAGACTATCATAATTTAACACTCACATAAATTCTAAGCAACTAGTGGTTTAATACAAAGTCTAGGCGATCCTCATTTAAACTAATCATTAGGTAATGAGACTGAATATTCCTCCTGTAAACAACACAAAAGGACTTGAATCTTGCTAATAAGTCCAGTCATGAGTATGAAATGCCTAGATTTTATATCTATCCACATCATGTTTGGTCCTTTTTTATTTTTTATTTTAACCTAATCCGTCCAGTTACGATCTCGTATATTTCTATCACTCAAATAACATAAGAAGGCTACTGTAGACCTTCAATTATTTAATGATATAGTAGTACTCCTCTGGTCTTAAATATAAGACTCTTGTACAAACTAGTATAAAAACCTTATATTTAGGATCAGAGGAGTACATCATATTCAAATATCACTAAATGGAAACCTCTCTCTAACCATTCATTTCAATCATTTACCTTGCAGTGAGAGCACGCAAACCTTAGGAGAGATGAGTAAGCTGAACAAATAATTTTTTTTTACCCTTTTTGCACACAAATAATTTTAAATGAGTTGAGTTTAGAAATTAATCACAACAAAAAAGCATCCATTTACGAGAACTTCTTGTTGATAGGAGTCTGTAAACCTATGCTTTTACTAAAGAGTGAGTTACATATCCTATTCTCCACTTTATGCGGATCAAGCAATTTAATTAAAATTAAATGAAGCCTTTAAAATTCGGAGACTATCCTCAATGAATTTCAGAAGATTGCTTGGTTAGTTAGCAAGGAGTTTGTTAAGTTATTTAAGAAATATCAAAGTAAAAAATATTTGGAAAAAAACTAGTAGCTTAAAACAAATAATCTTATATTAAAGATCATCTACAGTAAGAAGGGAAGAAACTAAATTGTAGTGTTCTCTCTCAACTCAAAAGTAAATTTTGTTCCTTCCATTGTCCCAAAGAAAGGTTTCTTTTGACATTTTCAAATTTACTTTGATTTTACTATATAGTTTTGAAAAAATTACGTAAAAAGAAGTTAGAAATTACAATGTTTCGATTCAGGTAACTAAGAGATCAAAATTCCAATGGAGGAAGTGATGCCTAATATAGTACTCCTCCGGTCCTAAATACAAGACCTTTATACGTGTGTATAAGGGTCTTATATTTAGGACCGGAGGAGTACTTTGCAAATATAGTTAAATAACAAATATGTCCTTATATTAAAATGTTTATCAATAAGTTGTGAATTGATCATGACAAGTGTTAAACATGAAATAACAGAAAATGTACTAGCAATGATAAGTTATTTATTTATAAGTTGTGAACTGATAATGACAAGTGTTAAACAATCAATGACAAAAAATATATTGATAATGGCAAGTTTAATAACTTTTTTTTTTTAAAAAAAATGATACAAGAGCATTTTAGTCATTTGACTACATTTACAAGATACAAGATCAGATATTACTTCTTTTTCTAAGATTTTGACCTCTTAACTGTCTAAATTAAAATATTATAATTTTTAATTTCTTTTTATATCATTTTTCAATTTTTGTTATCAATCATGGTTATATGATTTGAGATATTTGACTTATACTAGTACTATGTTGCTTCTTTTCCTTTAATACGGAAACCTGTATTACGTTACTCGTTTGCTGGTCCTGGGGTTTCTTTTTAATTCTAAAACTAGCGGGCCCGCTAAATAATTTAATCACGGAACTGTCATAGTGTCATCTCATTCAGATGATTTCAATTTATCGATGATTTTTTTTTTGTGTGGCCAAGATGATTATTTTATTCTATGAAATATCTCTGAGCACAACATTTTGCTTCTTTTTACGACGTATTCACATACATTTGTCTTCTCCCAACCCATGTGAGCATAACCGGTACCTTGTGTGTGTGTGTGTGTGTGTGTTTTTTTTTTTTAACTTTTGAGTGGAGGAGGGTTTAATACAATCAGACCTTACGTTGTGACATTGGGCAAATCAAGTTAGGACGAATTTATTTTTTTACACTTAAATGCTCTCAAGGAATATATATTAACATGTGTTATCACTTATCAGGCAAATTATGATATTCCTGATATTCCATAAAGAAAAAATAAAAAATAAAAAATCTTCCTTATCTGCCCCAAAAAATAAAATCCGCGTTGCGTGGTCCATGGGACCCGACAGATTATTTTAGATACAACCGCCGATATTAATTACTTATTCGTTACTTAATATAAGACCCATTTAACTAATTTGATTAGATTAAGAAAGTTAGGTAAGTTAATTAATTATAAAAAATGTGACACCTTTTCCCTAAAATACCATAATTATCTGTCTTAATATGTTGTCTTCTTCTCCTACTTGATTATAGTTAAGGGAGTATTCATAATGTTAATTTAGAGAAAATTGACAAATATAAGAAATGAGTCTTATATTTAGGACCAAAACTAACTTAACAATTGGGTCCTATATTAAGGAACAGAGAAGTATAAGAGTTAGTTGACTAATTTGAAGAGATTAAGAAAATAAATTAAGTTAGTTCTTTATAATAAATAAATGTTGTATTTTCTAAAATATCCTTACTAATTAAGTATATTGGCTAGAACTACCATTGTTATAAGGACTACATAGAAAAAAATACATAAATATAAAAGACAAAATGGATTGGGGTCTTATATTTAATATTAAAATAAAAACTAAATGGGATCTTATGTTAAGAACCAAAGGTAGTACAACGGAAAGTGATTAGTGATGCCCGGCCTTTTTCTAATATTATCATCCAATATCCTGTGCTTTTTTTAATTCTATTATTAAGTATCAGAGTAATTGATTAATTCAGTTTGAGGTTTATGGCTTCCTCTTGCTGCAAATGTATCTCTTCTAGAACTCAAATTCAAGATTTAAAGAGATTTTGATTTCTAGTAAGACTTTATAGTGTTAAACTAACACTATGTTTGGTACGAGATTTTCAGAGGGAAGGGGAGGAAATTTGATTCCCTCCCCTTGTTTGGTTGGTATAATTTTTTAGGAAAAGAGGGGAGCAACTCCCCTCTCCTCATTTGGTTAAGATATTTTTTAAAGAGAGGAGGAGCTCTTCTCCCATTCTCTTCTCTTCTAGCCTCCCTTCCAAAAGTGGTGTTTTTTGAAAGGAAGATAAGAGATATTATTTTAATTCTTCATATATCCTTTCGATTTGTTAACCGCTAATTAGTTGTAAACATTTCTATATAAGAGAGTTCTTTTAAATATCTAAGAAGAAGTTGTTGAGATAATTGTCTCCAAAATTAGTGAGCATTTGTAAACCATTTTTTTCTCTCTTCTTCTAATTTCAAAAGGCCGTCAGTGTTTTCTTTCACCTTCAAGGTCTTTTTTCTTATTAAAATCTATCACTCATGACCTTTTACATTAATATCCTATAAGTGTGTGACTGTGTTTTGTAAATCAAAATTGGTAAATTGTATTATATATATAGTTATATCTTAACAAAATAAAAAAGTGAGAAAATTCATTTAAATTTCATGAGGTTAAAATAGTCAATTTTTTATTAGAACAAAATAAGGTATTATTAAAATTGCTTCTTCCCCTCCCCTCTAATCAATCCAAACAGGAGATCATTAAAATCCCTCCCCTCCCTTTTGTAGCTACCCTCTCCTTTCTCTCATCCCCTTCTCTTGATTAAAATCCCTCCTCTCCTATTCTCTGCCTCGAACCAAACACAGCGTAACTATTTGTAGGTATCCGAGGGCATTTGTAGCGAGGCAAATGAATAGGTCGGTTAAACAGTTATAATTACACATTTAATTATTTTGGAAGCCCCACACAAGAAGATTTTGATTTTTCTTTTGGAAGAATTAATAACCGCCATTTAATTGGATCGAAATAATCGAAATTTCAAAGGCCTATCATACCAAACAAAACAAGTTGGTTTCCACAGCTCCTCCTCTAGTGAGCCCAAGAGCCGTGCTTCTTTATTCGGCTTCAATTTCAACTGTGAATTTATTCATTTAAGAAAAATAAATTGACATCTCCATAAATTCGATATCTAGCGTAGTGCGTGCCCCGCTATTATCCTAAATCTTAAAAATATAATCAACGATGTTGAGTCTAATGAAAATGTCTAACCTTTTACACCATACTGAATCAATATTTAAATTCTCATTAAAAAAGACGCCTACATTTGATACCTAATAATGTGTAGCATAATTACTTCTGGCAGGATGACGGGATAATACTAATGCGT